ATATGAAGTTTTATTTATTGTCACCAGATTTTGAATTTTTAGAAAACCTTTTATTTGACATGTACAAAAGCAACATTTATGATTATTAACTATATTAATATGCAGTGCGTCCTGCCACATACCCCCTGCCCTGGTTTTGTTTTCTGGGATGCCAATACTCTGGCACCTTACAAGGTAGACATTGTGATTTTTCTGGCACTCTGGCCAAAAACATTGCCTACCCCTTAGCTACAGGCTGAAGACTGAGAAGCATTGATCTAGAAGACACTTCTGCACTGTATCATTTGTACAGTAATTTTGAATAAACCTATTAAAATAACAGCCTATTTGCTGGTGATTCGAGAATTGAAGAAGAACAAAATATTTTACCACAAACAATCCCTATTCTTTAGGGAACTAGAAATATAAAGCATACGAAGGATGAGATGTATCTTGTTGGAGAATAAAAACACTCATTTGGTCATCATAAAAAATCTCTGCGTTTCTAATTTTTGTTAATAACTTTCACAAATTCACCTGAAGGCTGAAGTTAATCCAAAAAGGTAAAACATGTTATTAAACAGCTGTAATATGCAAGTAATAACTAAGCTATATATATTCACTTACAGATGTAAACGAATGTGACTTGAATTCCAACATCTGTATGTTTGGAGAGTGTGAGAACACCAAGGGCTCCTTCATTTGTCACTGTCAACTTGGATACTCAGTCAAGAAAGGAACGACTGGGTGTACAGGTACGTTGTGCGCTCAGCATTTGTATCATACACTTTTATTTTTCCGTGTTTCAAGTTGTAATCTTCATCACAATGAGCAGCCCCTGGATGGCTTTCACATTAATTGATACATGTTTCAAGATACCTACATATATTGGTAATATACAGTTTAGAGGAACATGTCCATATTTAATACAAGTAACATTTTCATCAAGTAAACCTAAGGCTATGTCTAGATTATATACTTCTGTCAACACAGCTGTTAGTTAGCAGCTGCAAAGAGGTTGCAGCATAGCTGTGCTGGCAGATGACCCTACAGTGAACAGGTAAACCTGTTCTTTAACCAGACTACCTTCTTTTCATCATAATGAATGCTTCTGATATCACAGCACCAACCTCAGCTTTGTTGGTACAGTTCAGGGATTGAAAACCTGTGGCCTGCAAAGCAGGAGCTTCAGCTCTGTTCAGCAGTGGGGAGGCTTTACCCAGGCCATGCCACAATTGAGTGGCAGAGAAATGGCAGTGGGAAGAAGCAACGGCTGAGTCCTAGTAACACCCCATCTTCGACCCAAGCTGGGTCATTCTGGCCTCCTGCTGGAAAATGTTGCTAATCCCTGGTATATGTAGGTATCTGCATCTGTACTAGAAGGCTTTGCCAGTATAAGCGCAGCAGTAAGGTGTGCCTAGTATAGACCTCACCTATGTCACGAGAGCAAGACAAAATGAAAGAGATAGTAAAGAAAAACAGGAAAAAAGGAAAGTGGAAAATAGCTGTTGATGAACCACACTAGCGAACATACGGAACTGAAGTCACAGGCTCAAGGCTTAAATCTATACAAATTGAATGCAAAGGTGTGTGTGTGAGGTGAGGAATTCTTCCCTTGGACAGCTCCTGCTTTGATTGATGGATGCTACTTATGCCTCATTTTTGGGGTAGCTAGCGTTCCTGTGGGTGGGGAGGTGGGGAATGCCAATACAGAATCCCCAGGCAGATCCTATTCTACTACCTATGTGTTGCGATAACAAGAGCTCCCATGATATCCACCTGCCCTCCCCTTCTTTTTTGTGGAGTTAAGCATCATCTTTCTTTCTGCAAATGGGGCCCTTCAGAGCTGCATAGGGGTAACTTGATTTCTCCAAAATTGCACTTCTGGAATATTTGACTTAATCCTATAACTTGTCCTTTAGGGATTTATTGCATTAAAAGTCTGGGGTGAATTCTTTCCTTTAATAAAATTTTCATGTATTTGCATAACTTTGAATACCCATTTTTAAACAAATCTGAATCAATCTCTCTCTCTCTCTCTCTCTCATATATATATAAAAACATTTTCTCTGATTACTTGAATATCTTAACAAAAACTGTCATAGATGATAAACCCAATTTTATATATTTGCAAATGAGTGAAAAAATGAAAATATATTAGTGTAATTTTCAGTAAAACATAAAACAATCATCTTAATTATAATAGAGTATTGTATTTTTCTTATTAAAATAGTGTAAAAAAAACAGTTGTAAAATGTGTTACCCTGGAAAAGAATCAACACTCCTGAAATATCCGTGTTGAAATTTTAGTAATCAGTTTGCTCTTTGCATTTTTAGATGTGGACGAGTGTGAGATTGGGGCCCACAACTGTGATGCACATGCCTCATGTGTCAATGTCCCAGGAAGCTTCAAATGCAGCTGCAGAGAGGGTTGGGTTGGAAATGGCATTAAATGTATTGGTAAGCTTATAATAACAGGAGCATTTGTTCTGTGGTCATATACATAGTCAAATATATAAATATGATTTTGTGTTTCTGGGTTCTGTTTCATTTTAAATAGAAAAAAGTTTGCTTTTTTTCTCAAACCCGTCTCTCTAGTAGTTTACGTTAAGGGAACTTAATATGAAATGATTCAAGTCAGAATATTTATGTTGGCCTCTAATTTTGAGAGGAAATATATCACTTTACTATAGACATCTTTTGATGTATGTCCAGCATTTTTAAGCTAAATTCAATCAGTGGGAGTGGAAATTGAATTAAATATTTTTTTCCAAATCATCTGTGTAAATCTTCTATGCAAAATGTAAAGTTCATTAAATAACAAAGTGGAAGGAACAAAATGCTTTGTGTGATTCTGTAGCAGCGATTAATGGATCAACATTTGTAAGGGAAAGGAAACTAAAAATATCACTGTAACAAGATTTAAAATATCCTGGTCCATACATAATCCAGTAGAACTTTGCTGTTTAACCCTAAGAGACCATAACAAATTACTGAATTTTATGACTTGCCAAGGAAATTAATGAACAGTTAAAAGCAGAATTCATCACAGACTTCATTTTCATTGTTTTGACAACTCCAGTTCATTTCTGTTATTTAATAATATACTTGTAAATATTCTGAAGTATGTATAGGCAACATGTTCTAATAGAATAGCACTTAAGTAGAGTTCAGTGCATCTGGGACATCTTTACACATGCTCCACGGTGAGGGTGGGGAGCACTTGAATTAAAGCAGCTCTCCGGAGCTTCTCTAATTAAAGCGCCCACAGTGTCTCGTGTATTCAGTGTCCCGTGCTTTAAAATGGTGGTGGGACGCTTTAGCTAAAACTTGTTGAACAAGCTTTAGTTAAAGCACCCCTGCTGCCTTTATGAAATATGGGGATGCTGAATACATGAGATACCAAGGTTGCTGGAGCATGCTAATTGGCTCCAAACTTGATTAATTAAGATTAATTTAGTCTGCTCTGCTGCATGCTAATTAGCATGCAGCAGAGCAGGTCTCAGGCATGTGTATAGGTGCCCCAGAAGACCTGGATTCTATTCTTGTTATGCCAATAGTTGCTGGGTGGTCCTTGGTCAGCTGCTTTACTTCCTTGTGCCTTGGTTTCCCCTTCTGTAAAATAGGGATAATGACACCTAACCTTCTTTGGAAACCACCTGAGATTTGTTTTGTACTAAACTAGATCATGTTTTGTATAAAAGAACAAAATCTCATGTGTGTTGAATTAGGCCCTTTGGATATGTTTTCCATAATATAAAAGCCTTATTAACCACATGAAGGCCAGTAGTAGGAGTTTGGTTTGAAGAGACCATGTGTTACACTGGTCTTACAAACCATTTTATAGAGAATATGGTCGTATTTCAATACTTCTTTTGGCAGTTCATCGGTGGTCTTAATGCTGATAGCTAATTATTAGAGAGTTTCTCCTAAGTTAAAAGAACACAGGATGGCTATGCCCTGTAATCCCCAGCCACAACACTGGACCATCCCTAAATTCACTGAAAGAAAAAATAGATTTGATTATTGAGAGTGAAGAGAGGAGCTAATAATAGAAAACTAAGGTAAGAATGTTTTCGTTTTGTATGTGAGAGCAGTAAAGGTACCATTCCTGAGTACACAGTGGACATTGAAGTCATCCAAACCCTTTAAACTGGTCACAAAACTGTGACCTTCACCTTACCATTTCTCTTTATGTCCCTGAATATTAATATGCATGATTTTTTTTGTCATGCCAGTAATTTAAAACAACAGTTGTCTTCCTTTTTCCAAAATTATTTTGATTCCAACTTCTTTAACAAGGTACTAAAATAAAAGTTACTTAGAATAATGATTCTTTTTAAGTGCCATAATTTAGTGTGTGCAACCATTTCATTCAGATGCACATGATATATTTTTTAAGGAAATATTAAGATGAAATCAGTTGCATATAACCAGATGTCCTCTGCTAGAATTTAACATTTCTTCAGGGACATAAGTCTTCCTTGTATTTTTTATTTTGTGTTAGCTGATGCAGATTAAGTGTAGGACAACATACTACCTACTGCATATATAGTCTTAGCTTTTCTCATTTCTTTGTTTTCTTTTGGGGTGCAGATCTTGATGAATGTTCGAATGGAACCCACCAGTGTAGTGTGAATGCTCAGTGTGTGAACACACCTGGATCATATCGCTGTGCCTGTGCTGAAGGGTTCACAGGAGATGGATTCACTTGTTCTGGTAAGCGACATGTGAGAAATTTTCGGTAAGACTAACATGTCTACTGATTGCTTCTATTACTTAGAAACTTTGTAAAATTAAGACTATATTCAAAGGACAAGAGAAAAGGTGTAAAGAAATTGTAGAAACCTCTTCCATCTGAAATGCAAGTCGGTGCCTCCAGAGAGCTCAGGCAGTATGCTAGCAGATGCCCGTCTCATATTTTGACTTGTCTACCACATCCCCAGTGGGCCAATTTACTGGGTAGGACTCTTGTCTGCCCCTTCCTTCTGCTTTCCGCTCCAGACAGCCTGTGCATATGCTGCTGTCAACAGCAAACTCTCTAGCCAAGAGCATGCAGTTTCAGCTCCCCATTACAAGTCTTGTCCTTGCTGGCAGGATTCCTGTAGCAGAGATTGAAGGAGGACAACAGTTATTTTCCCCTCATGGTGCCAGTTAGAACAGTGTTTAGTCATTAATATACCATTTTTTTATAAGGATGGTTCAGTTGAAAAATAACATCTTCTTTTCCTTTACATTTACATCGCCTTATAGTTTGTTATTTTAAGACTGAAGTTTTTTCATACAGTAATTCAAAATAATATGAAGGGTTGGCAATTATTGTGATATTGTATAAGCATTCATGAGATTATGTATAGCTTTTATCACCAGCTGCATCCATAATGCAGACTTGAAGGAATATCTATTTGCATCTATATTCTTGCACATTTTGATGTACAGTTTCAGCAGCTTGAGAGCTAACCACATTTTAATAGTTGTTTACTTAGGCTGGAAAATCTGAGTCCCAATTAATGTTGTGATAGTGTTTATGATGACTGCACTGTTGAACAACAGTCCTATATATATGAAATGTTTATAAATGTAAATGATGCTATCAAAACAGTAAAATCTTATGGGCCGATTGTTCAAAGAAAGTTTTAAAAAATATACAGTGATAGGATGCATGGATGTATGTGCCATGAATCCATCCATGCATGGATAGAATTAACTCCTATGAAACCAAGTGGGGCTTAATTTGTATATGCCAAAAAAGTCTTATGTTCTCACATAATTAATAATGCTGAAAATGTTGTGAAAATGTAATTTTCATTCTCTTTAATAGAGATTTCATTTTGCAAATTTGCCTCTGGAAGAGTTTTATTCCAAAAAAATAGCAATATATTTATATATCATTTTTTTTACTTCATATATAAATCTACTGTATTCATAGGAGCAACTACTAATGGATTTGGAAGATGAATCAGTTCAAAATTTGACACTGTATAAAATCTGGCAGTGAAAATATAAGGGCATGGATTCTCGGCAGAACTAAAAGATAGATGTCAGAAGTAGTTGTTACTATTTTCTTTTCCTAAATTATTTTAACCCATTCAGTCTTTAAGTGGATGATGTAACCTGCTTTGCTTCAACATATCAGTAATCATAGTAATTATAGAAATGAGGGTTGGAAGGGACCTCAGGAGGTCATCTAGTCCAACCCCCTGCTCAAAGCAGGACCATCCCTAACTATATCATCCAATCCAAAGCTTTGTCTAGCTAGGTGTTACAAACTTCCAAGGATGGAGATTCCACAGCCTGTCTGGGTAACCTGTTCCAGTGTTTTACTAACCCCCTAGTGAGGAAATTCTTCCTAATATCTAACCTAAACTTCCCTTGCTGCAGCTTGAGGCGGTTGCTCCTTGTTCCGTTATCTGCCACCACTGAGAACAGTCTAGCTCCATCCTCTTTTGAACGCCCCCCTCAGGTAGTTGAAGGCTGCTGTTAAATCCCCTCTCGGTCTTCTCTTCTCTAGACTAAATAAGCCCAGTTTCCTCAGTCTTTCCTCATAAGTCATGTGCCCCAGACCCCTCACCTTTTTTGTTGCCCTCTGCTGGACTTTCTCTAATTTCTCCACATCCTTTCTCCAGTGGGGGACCCAAAACTCAACACAATACTCCAGATGTGGCCTCACCAGCCCTGAATAGAGGGGAATAATCACTTTCCTTGACCTACTGGCAACATTCCTACTGATGCAGCCCAGTATGCCGTTAGCCTTCTTTGCAACAAGGGCACACTGTTGGCTTTGTATTCATCTTATTGTCCACTGTTATCCCCAGGTCATTTTCTGCAGAACTGCTGCCCAGCCAGTCAGCCCCCAGCCTGTAATCGTGCATGGGATTGTTCTTTTTTAGATGGAGGACCTTGCACTTGTCCTTGTTGAATCTCATGAGATTTCTTTTGGCCCAGTCCTCCCACTTGTCTAGGTCACTCTGAATCCTATCCTTATCCTCCAGCATATCTACTACTCCCCTCAGCTTGGTGTCATCTGCAGACTTGCTGAGGGTGCACTCTATGCCATCTTCCAGGTTGTTGATGAAGACATTGAAAACCAGCCCCAGGACTGACCCCTGGGGCAATCCACTTGATACCAGCTGGCAACTGGACATTGAGCCATTGATTATTACCCTCTAAGCCTGAGCATGATGCTGCAGGCAGTTTTCTATCTAAAGCCCATTCATCCAACCCGTACTTCCTTAGCCCGTGAAAATATTCAGCAGTACTATTCCATTTATTTGAATGACAAAATAGGACGGATAAAACTATTTAAGTGCTAAAATACCTAGTCATGTTTAATGATACATTCTTTTCTTGCACAGATGTTGATGAGTGTGCAGAAAATGTTAATCTGTGTGAGAATGGACAGTGCCTCAATGTCCCTGGTGCCTACCGTTGTGAGTGTGAGATGGGATTCACTCCAGCTTCAGACAGCAAATCATGCCAAGGTAATTTATCAGTACTTCAACCTCATTTTCTGAGTTTGGATTGGCTGCTATAAAGGAAACCACAAGAAGTGCTGGAAGGACCCAACCTGGAAGCACATGCTTCACATATAAAAGTCATTTCTTCAAGCAAGGATTATTTTGCAGTATGAATTATAATGAAGGTAGCATTCATGTCTTATGAAGTTTTCCTGGCCTTCGGCCAAGAATCCCAGGGCAGAGGTCTGTCTCATTTGGTTTTTCTTTAACCATTTCTTATTTTTCTCACTCAGTAAATGGTCTATAGAGAATACTATGTTGCTCTCTGCACTTATTGTGTGTGTGTGTGTGTGTGTGTGTACAGGAAATATAAGCTTCATTGAACATCAGTCTGTTTAATAAATATATACAGGAAATTTGAATGAGGCAGATTGCTGCTAGTTTTATCAGATTTATAACAATCCTTAAAATTTCTCTCTGAATGTTTTTACATCTTTCTCAGTTTATATATATTCTGTTATCTAAGATGTTACTTGAATTATCATGTTCTTTGTCCAATTGTGATTCTATCCCTTGTAGTATTTAAGGACTCTTGTTCTAGTCTGATTTCCTTGTGAAAACCCCTGTACCCTTTTAGGAAAGCAAAGGCAAAGGTGAGATATAAATAGGGAGTTACTCAAATCATTTCTCAGATTTTGCAGAAATTGTGAAAATAGGCATTGTCCATGATATCTGCAGGGAAAAAAGAAATGTAATAAAAATAAAATGGTGGCTCCCCAGTGGGAGCCAGCAATCCTTCTGAATGTGCAGCCCACCAGAGGGGAAGGGGAGAGAGTGGTTACCAGCACAAAGGGGAGCAGACAAGATGGCTGCCTCCCCACCCTTGCTACTGATTGGCTGAGGACTGCCTGCCATGCAGCCCCACCCCTCTCCACCAGCCGGCGAGGGGTGGGGCTGCATGATGGAAAGTCATTTAGGCCAATTAGCAGTGAGGGGTGGGACTGTATGACAGATAGCCTTCTTCAACAATCAGGGAGTGAGGCTACTGGGGCCCCTTGGCCAATAGGAGGCATAGGGGGATGCCGTGCCATAATAAACCAGCAAAAATGGCAACCAGCCCTGAGATCTGCCCATGAAATCGGCCTCCTGCCTCCTCGAGTTTGGTTGACCCCTAGATATAAAAGAAAACATTTTGAAAAGCCGTCTCTAAAATTGGACACTTAAGTTAATACATACAAATCTCCATATGCACATACATACATAGCGTCTAATTTTAGCAAAATTATGGAAGCTTCTGAGAAACTGGCCCTGAAAGTCCACTCATAAGATCCATTGTGTTACCAGGATATTATCAGAGACTCATTAGAGAATTTTTAATTTCAGATCGTTAGCTGTTCACTTTGACACTAAAGGTCAAACAAAATCTCAAATAGCACAAACTTCAAACACCATGGATATATTTTGAAAACCAAAATTTCTAACTCCCAGGACAGCAGGGCAAACATTTGACTTTCCTGATATCATTTAATGAAAAATTGCAAATTTTGGATGAAATAGTATTTTATCTGGGTACTAGCAGATCCAGGTTGGGGGAGGGGGCAGTTAGGAGGGTTAAAACAGCACATCCTCAAGGCTGAGGCTAGTGGCTGGGCTTTCCCAGCCCCAGATCTGTGCTGTGAACATGTGCAGGTGTTCATTAGCTGGGTTAACCCATTTTAGATTGGATTAACCCAGGCTGATCTAAACATAGTTCATCTCCTGATGTGAACTAATTTAGATTGGGTGTGTCATTTTTCAGGTGATTTAAGCCCTATGAACACCTGCACACCCAGGCATTGAGATCAACCTAACTGGTTCGTTCAGTCTAAATGTAATGCTTGTATGTACCCTAAGGAAACAAGAAACATTAGCTCTGTTTGGTTGGGTGAAAAGAATGTAAGAAGTCAGTCCCCCTCCTTCCCTCCCCTCCCCTCTCCTTCTTGTAGTTTGTAAATACACAGATGGAAAAAATGTTCCATATGAGAAGGGATGGCTTTCAGACATATTAGATCATTTACAGATTGTTTTTGATTTAGCAAAGATCAAAATTAAATTCAGTACAGCAGCTTTAAAAAATAACCAATAAGGCTGCCTTTTTTTTTCTTTCCTGTTCTGAGTTCTGGAAACTGTCTAGTCTGAGAAGCTGGAAGTATTATTATATAGGGATCAGAGTATACTTACTCCCTTACATTAGTTTAAGAGATGGTAATCAGCAATTTAGTTTCTCAGATAAAACAACTTTGTTTAAATACCAGTAGAGTACAGTACAGTAGAAGCCCAGTCCTGCAAGCTGTTGAGAGTCAGTGCCTTGCAGGGGCAGCCCCTCTACTTGTTAAAAAAAATAATCATAATTTTGTGTTTGAAGAGTTTCTTACTATGACTTGCTATGTTTACATGCTGAAGCCCTATACTATGGAAATTTCAGGTATTTCTAGGACCATGCCTTAAATTAGCAATCCATATCACCCTGGAAGAGTTCATACCACATGTTATTCAAGATGCAGTCAGTATCTTCTGGAAGATGAAATGTTGTGGCAATATATAGTTCACCCGATTCATAGGTCTCATTGCTTTTATGACACTTCTCTTACACAGTTCTTTTCACTAAAGGAAAGCACATGGGCTTGTTCTTTTAGACTACTAGAATTTCCTTTTTAAATCTTTAAGCAGAAAGAAATTTTGTTTTACAGGCAAGTATACATTAAATCAAAGAAGAGAGAAAGGAAGCCTGAATTGAGAGTGCAGCCATTGACACCTACAGAAATGTAAAACTGCACATAGGACAGAACACATTTTTGTTTGTAAGTGATAGGAAGGACATCCAAATGAAGGAAGACAGGCACAGGGCTAGATTTAAGTGGTAGGTTGCAGTGTTAATAGCAGTGGGGAGAGACACTGTATGCCTGAACTTCATGACATTTCATATACTAAGCATTTAAGTGGATCCAGTGCAGACTTACAGAACTCTCACCATAGCTTAGGTTAGACTCTCCTCAGCCGATTCCTAGGTTTCAGTTAACTCCTTACTAGGGGCAGGGAACAGGAGCATACAAAAGGGGAGCTTGGGGTGATGAAACTTCAGGTCTCCCCATCTCTCATAGGTAGAAGCAACAGCAAAATCCCAGAATTCTTCTCTTTCTGGTGTTGAGCCCCACCTCAAGTCTGGGATCGTGCCCGGTATGCAAAGGCCAATAAAGATACCAGGGGTGAAAGTACAAAGAAAGTTTATTGCTAGCAATAAAAGGTGCGAGCGGTATAATTTCACGTAACAAGCACACCAGATTACTATTTCTAAGCATCTTTTATACAGGAGTTTTTTGAGCCTTCATAAGCATCCTTGTTTGCTGATTGGTTATAAAGGAGTGACGCAAGGAGTTCTTTACTGAGCATGTCTCTATACCTGTGTTTTAGCCATGTATCTCATTTACATACATGTATGTTTCATTAGCATACTTTTTCCCCACATAGGGGCGTGATTTTTAGTCTTTTAATGAGCCCTTTACCCCAGTACTTTGCTTCTTGCTTTTATTTTCAAGCCCCCTTTATCTAGGACTGTCTCCTCCTTATCATTGCAGATGGGCATTCGTCACATAACATTCTCTTCTGCTTCGTCTCTGAGTAGTGGTTTCTAGGCCACTCCTTACACTGGGAGCTGTTCCCTTGGGCCTTTATCCATAGGAGACATTAACTGCAAGTTTAAACATAGTAAATCTTCCTAGAATTATATTAACATTAATGTATAAATCCTATTCCAATTTAATCTAATTGACACTTAGGTTATTTCACTAAATTGCTGATTACCATCTCTTAAACTAATGTAAGGGAGTAAGTATACTCTGATCCCTATATAATAATACTTCCAGCTTCTCAGACTAGACAGTTTCCAGAACTCAGAACAGGAAAGAAAAAAAAAGGCAGCCTTATTGGTTATTTTTTAAAGCTGCTGTACTGAATTTAATTTTGATCTTTGCTAAATCAAAAACAATCTGTAAATGATCTAATATGTCTGAAATTAATTAGATTAGAGGGCAGAGGGGCTTTGCCCTCGATTGACAGTGAGGCAAAAAAATGTAGTTTTAAATATGCCACAGTTTCTGCCTCCCTCAGCTGGTTGGTGGACGGTCCCTGGTGGCCCTGCCACTTGCTGCTGATCAGATGAGAGGCAAAAACTGCGGCATAATGAAAACTGCAGTTTTTGCCTCCCAGCCATCAGAAGCAGGTGGCTCCTGATTAGAAGTTCTAGAAAATCTTTTACAAGTATTTTGTTTTAATTTGGAATCCTGAAGATTCTTTTTTTTAACCTCAGGTTTACTTGCTAAATAATCAATCTATATCTGAAGATTACTCATGACAACTGTAATGGGGAATAACTGTTAGATTGTCATTAAAGCTATTCCTCACAAATTCTTAAGTTTAACTCTGCACAGGAATAATTATTGTATAGCGATATTGCCTCTGACTTTTCAGTATTAAATGTGTTTTTAAAGTAACTTTATTCTTAACACTTCTGTGAAGATGAATTGTAATTTTTTGCTCTGGCTATCTTTCTTCAGATATTGACGAATGCTCTTTTCAAAATATATGTGTATTTGGCACCTGTAATAACTTACCAGGAATGTTTCATTGCATCTGTGATGATGGCTATGAACTGGATAGAACTGGAGGAAACTGTACAGGTATAGTCTAATCCAGTGTTCTCAACATACTTCTTTTTAAGTTTGTTACAATGCCGTATAGTCCCATGACTCTGAGGTGTGGGTAATAAAGTTACCCTTTGCATCACTGCAACTGAAAGGTAATCTCTCTAACAACCTAAGACATATTGTGAAGTTATTCTCCTTTTTTTCATTCTCTTCCACTTATACTTTTCCTTTCCCTTCTCCTTTCCCATTCTTTCCTCTTATGTACCCTCTACAAGTTTGCTGCACATCTCCAGGGGTACAAATGCAGCACTATAAGAAATGTTCTAATCTAACCAGAATTATGTAAAAGAAATGTAGAATTTTATCACATTATCTATTTTTTCCATATCCTGGCTACATGTAAATAATAAAGCCAGTTTAGTAGCTTTTTAAGCTGTCACTAACACTTTGTAACTAAGAAATATTTAAAGCTTCTAGCTCAAAGAACTATATTTAGGTAAATATTAAGAAAAAAAATCCCCTTTGCTTTCATTTAGATTTAAGGTTTACAGTTGTTCCTTCATCATCGTACAAATCCCTTCCAAATGGAATATTTTTCTGTGACTGTATGGTGATAGTTCTTAAGTGTTCATATAAAATTAGTTAAGACACAAGGGTGTGTCTACACATTCATTAATGCGCAGTAGCTACTGCGCATTTAGTTTAGTACTTGCTTAATGAAGTACTAACTAAATATGCAATAACTATAGTTACTGCACAGTAGTGCCAGCGCACAGTTTTTTGTGACGTTTACTGTACAATAGCCTAATAAAATTGTGTAATAGTGTATTAGCATGGTTTTTGACTGGCATGCTACAGCACAGTGTTATTAGGCTACTGCGCAGTAAGCATCTCATGTAGACATGTCCTGAGTAACTTTATAATGAAGATTCACAAAAGAGATCTAAAAGAGGACTTTAGTTTTGCGCTGGACTGTTTAATTCTTCTATTCAGTGTTTGTATCTAATCATTGCATGGCATGGGCAAATCTACATTAATAAATGCTAATATAACATCAATTCAGAAATGTATATGGTGTTTTGCAAATATAGACTTAAACAAGGTTCTTGAGGATTTTCTTTGATAAAGGGAACCTCCAAAATACACTTTCAATATTCATTTAAGAGTAGGAGTACCTGACGAATGATAGAGATAAATGATGAAGGGCTGAAGTGAGTTTTGAGGAGGGTTTTTGAAGGAAGAATCTTCTTCAAAAGGAGACAGCAGTGTCTAGAATGCTAACTTAATAGACCAAATAGCATTATGCTGAAATTCCTCTATGTACACTGGCTTCCAAACTTACACTGCCTTCCTTAGTGTGCTGCTGCAAATGAGCTAATTAGCTTTGTTCCATTCTGTTATGCAAGAAGAGATCATTGTAAGTGTAGGTGACAGCATGAAATGAATTAGTGTCCGCATTCTTGGTTTTTATTTAAAAAAAAAAAAAAAATCCAGGAATTTTTTTGGGTTTATCTTCGAAACAAAAACCGGTTGAAATCAGGAAGAAAAAAGGAAGAAAGGCGGGGAAAAGTTGGTTTAAACTGGAGAAAAATAGGCAGTGAGGGAGGGAGGGAGTAAGGCTGGGACTAGGGAAGGGGAGGGGCACGGCGCAGCCCATTGGTCACTCCTGGGGCCGCAGCAGGGAGCAAAGCGGGGGAAGCTGTCAGTGGGTGCGGGGCTGCAGGGGCACAGCTCTTGCTGCTACATACCCCCCAGGAGGGTTGCAGGCTGGGGAGCTGTGCCGGGCTCTTCCAGGGGGGCCCATGCACCCGGATCTGTGTGTGGGACGAGAGCAGGCCGCTACTGCAGGCTGGAACTGGTGGTGGCACTGGTCTCTTCCCAGCGCTTGGCTGCCTGATCTTGCTGCAGCATGTTGCGCTGCAGGCTGGGGCCAGCAGTGGCACTGGGCTCTTCCCAGCACTCAGGGCGGGTGGCAGCCAGCTCTTGTCCTGTGCACAGATCTAGGGGCATGCACCCCCCAGGAGGCTGTTGGCTGGGGGGCTGTGCTGGGCTCTTCCGGGTGGGCACATGCCCCCAGATCTGTGCGCAGGACAAGAGCAAGTTGCTGCCCCCCTCCCTCCCCGTGGGGCTCCCAGCACCCAGGGCAGGGCCAAAGCTGAAGCTGTCAGGGTGCAACTTGGACCCACTTGCCCCAGGAGTGATTCGCTTATTCCGTCTCGCCCCTCCTGGGGTCAGAGCCAGGAGCCCCATGCCCCCAGGCAGCGGCTCCAGCCACCCTTCCTTGGCTCGCACGTGGCCACTGCCACCCCACCTGCCGCCCCTGTCCAGTGGGAAACCTGTGCCTCAGGTAACTGACACTTTTAGCTTACTGGCACCACCCATTTTTCAGTTCAAGTCCCTGTTAACCAGCACGAGTGGGGTATGGGCCATGCCCCACTCGTGCCAATTAACAGGGATTTGAACTGAAAAACATGTGTAAACCAGTAAAAACCAAATGGCTTTAAAAAAAAAATCAGGGTATTTATCAGTGAAAATGGGTAAAAACTGAGAATGCGGAACACTAGAAATAATGCATAAAAATTAGAATGTGCTCTTTTTCTAAAGTTTTTAATTTTAGGAGACTTGGCCAAACTGTATTCCTACCTGGAGCACTTAAGAAAACACAGCATAAAATTCTCTCTTATATAAACATTCTTTTTTTTTTTAAACTTATTCTTTTTCTTTTTAAATGAAAGCAGTATTGTCTTGTTAACTTGTTTTACTGGTACAGCTTAATACCGAGTGCTTCCCATTGTGCACAGGGGATATGATCTGTTCTGTTCTGTTCTAGCAGAGCTACTCACATATTGTCACATGCTATACAACTTTGGTACCTCAATTTAGGGTGGAACCTATTCTGTTCATTGGATGTTCATTTATTTTGGATTGCCTCTGTTACTATTGCTCTCCTAACATATGGGTGTATATGTGATATATCTTTTATATGGATTTCTTTATATGAATTGCAGTGTAATATTTTGATGGAATCTGCCTAATTAGATAATAAGATATAAGTAATGTTATTTTTCCTTAACATTTTGGAACTGTTAGTGTTTACATATTTATTCAGCACAAAATACAGTGTACCCAAGCTTATCCAGACTTGAGTTAACCAACATTTCTGGTGAACGAAGCATTACTAAGTCTTCCTAAAGCAATTAAGGCTATGCTTTATTTCCTCATTTTAACAAAGTATTATGTAGGACTCTATAATCTTTGACTAATCTAAGGATAGGACAATTTTTTTTAATTAAATTTGCAAGTGTAGAAGGTTATTTTGAGTATTTGACAAATGGTTAGTAGTTCTCCTTCAACTTAAGGTAAAGATAAGAATTATCTCTCTTTTGAAACATTCCTACAGAACTTTCTTCTTAAAGTTATACACTTTCCTCTTTTCCATCCAGTGAACAAATTTACTTTCCTATTTTAGATATTGATGAGTGTGCTGATCCCATTAACTGTGTTAATGGACTCTGTGTGAATACTCCTGGGAGATACGAATGTAACTGTCCACCAGATTTCCAGCTGAACCCAACTGGAGTGGGTTGTGTGGGTAAGTCAAAACTATATCAAATAAATATGAATTGGAGGCAGCAAACAGCGAGTAGAAACTTAGGGCACCTATACACGAGCAACAAGACTACTCAGACGCTCTGTAATTATTGCAAGTCAGAGCAGGCTTGTTTAATCAAGGTCTCTGTGGGCTCAAGCAGACTCCATCAGCATCCCCATGCTTAAAAATGGTGGCTGTTTGGAGTCCCTCTAATTAAAGCCGTCCCAACTTCTGGAGCGTGTGTATAAATGCCTATTTGTGTAGTCTTTAGTCACACTACCATCCAAGTGATCAGAGTTGCTGACAGCAGGGTTAGTGCAGGGATAAATACAAATCCAAAGTGTGTTTCTATTTCACCCTTTTTATACATAGGAAATACTTAGATCAGTCATGCCTCATTGCCCAGCTTACAATTTGCTGATTAATGGATTAATTAATTACAACATTCCTACATACCTCTCATATCTCTTGTACCAGATTTGGTTAAGTCCTACTGCTCCAGGCCTGTCTTGTGGCCTACAATCATAAATATACAACATTCTCTTAAAGTAAGTTAATATCATTTCAGATGCTGTCTTAATTTGTCTCGTTTCAGCCTTTAATACCACTCAATTGTAGAGTCAGCCACCAACATCCCTTTTGTATTCTGATCAGTTGCATTTTTTCTTACCCCCAAATTATTGGTATCTTTCCCAAATACATCTTTTTGTCTCAGTTTTGGCTTTCCTTTTTTTCCTCTCTCCCTCAAATTTCATTTCCATCCCTGTTCTCACTATATTTCATGATTTTCCATGCAGGACCTCGTGATTTCAGCCTGAGCTTCCTGGCTCAACAGTAGTCCAAGGACCAATCATTTTCTACTGTTGTCGTTTCTTTATCTTTCTCTCTCAGTGAAACACCCAATATTCACATAAGCATCTTCATCTCATTTGGCTCAAGTGCACTTTCATCCTTTCTTCACATTGCCTAAGTTTCCAATGGCCTCACCACTGTCAGGTAAAATTTAATCTTCAACTTCCCTTCTATCTTTTTATCACATACAGGGCACATCTACACGAGACCATTTACTCAAGATTAGAGCTGATTACTGCATAGTAAGTGTCACTGTCTACGTGTGCAGCCGCTTACTGCACAGTAATTTGCTCTAATCCAGAATAAATATGCTACCTGTAGTTACAAGTAGCAGATTTACTTGGTAGTAATTAGTGCACAGTACAGCACATGTAAATGGCTTAGGACTGGGATGACTGGGAGCAAATGTGTTCCCAGGCAGCTGGGCAGCAGGGGGCGGGAGATTGCTCCCTGCCCCCAGGAGTTGCCTGCTGGCAGGTTGGGCTCTGCCACCACATCCTGGGTGGGGACAATGTCCCCCTGCCCTGGCAGCAGTGAGTTTACAGCCCCCACTTCGGAATCGCGAAGAATCTTTCCTGCTGCCAAGTCAGGGAGACATTGTCCCTGTCCGGGCTCTGGTGATGGAGCCTGCCCTGGCAGCAGGGAGTTCCCAGTAGCAGGAATCTACCTCCCAGCCTCTGTCAGGAGACAGCTGTCTCCTGGTCCCCTTGCTCCCTGCCAGTCCCTGGGTTAGCAACCGGAGGAGCCTAGAGCTCCCCCTGGCTGCTGCAGGGGGCCAGTGCAGGGCCTGAACAGGTGGAAGCAGATTGCTGCCATGAGCAGCAAATCTGTTCCCTCTTCCCCACATGTGTAGATGCCTGCCTAGGGTGGGTTTACTTTAGAGTAGTTTAAAGTAAACTCACGCTGGAGCATTTGCACGTGTAGACACACCCACTGGTACCTAAATCTGTCGATTTTCTTTTCCCAAATTTAAGTTGGTCTGTTACTTCTGCTTCACAGCTGCTTTCAGTTGATCCCAAATACTTGAATGTGTATACCTAGTTTCTTACCTCATTTATGGTCCACCCCAAATGTCACCATTACTTCTGTTTTTCTAGAGTTTATTTTAACTAGCATTGATAAGGTCCTTCTATTCCTGCCTTTAATGTATCATAACATTCCTTCCATAATTTTTAGATTTTTCAACAGGACAGGTTTTTGTTATTCTCTTTTATAAGACTTTTATCTTTCCTGACTGTTGTTGTCTCTGGTTTTCTGCCATTCCTGAGACACCTCCTTTTCATTCTTTATCATATTTTTCATTTTTTAATTTGCCACCATGTCTCTTTCTTTTGGGCTTCCCTAGCCTTAACTTCCCTGTCCTTATCTTCTCCCCCTTCTCCTACTGCCCTCAACATTAGCCTTTTCATGATATTTCATTCATTCTCAATTTGTATAGCTTGTTTCCTCTGATTTTGTCTCCTTGTGATTTTTCTCTGTAATTTTCAATGTTCTTTCCTTTAAGATTCCATACTTCAATTCTTCCATCCCTCTTCCTCTCTGCAGTCTTTATTTTCCTTACCACAGTATCCAGAATCAGAAATCCATGTTGATTCCTCACCACTTTCCTGGTATGACCTTGCTGTTTGAGCCTTTTCTTACCTCTTTGACTGGCCAAGATATAAGTGATCTGACTTTTGCTTTGATGACTCTTATATGACAAGGTGCTCTTCTGCTTTCTAAAATGGAGTATCAGTAATGAATCGATCTAAGTCTTCAACCACTACAGGTGCATCCTCTATCCTCATCCTAACCATCCCATTCCCTTCATACATTGCCTCAGGTGCTTCATTTCTTTCTCCAATATATCCATTTGTGTCCACTCTCATTGTTATATTTTTTCTTTCCTGTAATGGTCTTTGAAAGTTTCTCTGTAGTTTCTTTCTTTTCCCTATTGCCCACTTGTGGTACATAGCTTGATATAAAGTTTAGCATCCCCTCTGAAGTTACTAACATAACTGCCATTGGCAGTCATTTACTCTTATAACCTCAGTGATGTTGTCTTTAAAGCTGCTATGGAATATTATCCCAGCTCCATTTATTTTTCCATCTTTTCCACTCCTAATATCTTGTATCCTATTCCCAGTTTATTATGTTCTGTTCCTTTCTATTATATTTTTTACTCAGGCTTTTTACACCCTCCTTTTTCTCAAGTAGTTCACCATTTGTCTATTGTCGCATATAAGACTCCCATTATGCAGTGTATTGATTCTCATGTACAATAATGACACTTGTTTCTTTTACTTCATCATCGCTCATGTGGCACACCTCACTACTTGCTACAGCAAGCAAGGAGTGTCACTGAGCGTTCATTCTACAAAACACCCTGAAATTGTTCACCTTAGGCTTGAAGTCTGTATCATCAGTATTTGCTTGGATGGATGCAGTTGAAAGCAGTGTACTTATTCTTCAGTCAAAAGACTTTATTTGCAAGGTAGCCAGGGTCTGAATTTGGAGTTTTTCTTCTCTTAAAGCAGTTGGTAACTAGGCTACAGTTCACCTGTCCTGAGCAGTCTACTTTTAGGACCCCAGGCACCTGCCTTTTGGACCACTTTTACATGAAGGCCAGTAGTAGGAGTTTGGTTAGAAGAGACCATGTGTTACACTGGTCTTACAAACCATTTTATAGAGAATATGGTCGTATTGCAATACTTCTTTTGACAGTTCATCGGTGGTCTTAATGCTGATAGCTAATTATTAGAGAGTTTCTCCTAAGTTAAAAGAACACAGGATGGCTATGCCCTGTAATCCCCAGCCACAACACTGGACCATCCCTAAATTCACTGAAAGAAAAAATAGATTTGATTATTTATTGAGAGTGAAGAGAGGAGCTAATAATAGAAAACTAAGGTAAGAATGTTTTCGTTTTGTATGTGAGAGCAGTAAAGGTACCATACCTGAGTACACAGTGGACTTTGAAGGCATCCAAACCCTTTAAACTGGTCACACAATTGTAACGATCTTCACCTTACCATTTTTCATTATGTCCCTGAATATTAATATATGCATGATTTTTTTTATCATGCCAGTAATTTAAAACAATAGTTGTCTTGCTCTTCCTTCCAATAGCGATGAAGTATTAATAGAATTGTCTGAAATTTCTTCAGTGGGACTTGTTGAAAAACCAAGTGTACCAGCCAATTACTAATTATAATAGAATGTATTTTTTCTGAAGACAATCGTGTAGGCAATTGTTACCTGAAATATGGACCCCGAGGGGATGGAAGCCTATCCTGCAACACTGAAATTGGAGTTGGAGTCAGTCGTTCTTCATGCTGCTGCTCTTTGGGAAAGGCCTGGGGGAACCCCTGTGAGACTTGTCCCCCTGTAAACAGCAGTAAGGAACTGTTTTTAAACTATTCTAATTTCAAAAGGTGCAAAGATGAAAAGTACTACCAATATGTATAAAGTTATCAGAAAAATCTTGCAAATTTCCTTCATTAGGTTGTGTTAATACATCCTTATTTACTGAAGGAAGTCTTCCCCCTGTTCTAAGAGGTGATACACAAGCTCTGGGCCAGAGAGTCAAGAGAGGTCTCTTGTGTTAGTAGCTCCAAATCTGACTCGAAACCTGTTTCTATGTCACTGGAGTGAATAGGAACCTTACCATTGCCTTCACTGTGACTGGGATAAAGTTCTCACTGGGTAGCCTCGAGCACATCATTTTCTGTGTTTTACTTTGCTCGTATGAAAAAATGGAGATAACTGGTAAGGCATAGCTCATTATGTTGCAATTCCTCAGAGTTCAGATTCTAATTGGCCTTTAAGGCACCTCCACTTAGTCAAAGCAACATCGAAAATGTAAGCACCTTCCCCATGGAGGGTAATCCAAGTGCAAGATTAGGCATGTACACAATGAATAGGAAGATTTAGCTGCCTCCCAAGGGTAATCTCAATCACTTAGGTACTTAGCAGGGAAGTGTCTGTGGGAAGCCAATGTGAATTCTAGGGACAGTGTTGTGTTTGGGCTCCTGTTTTTCCTCAGAGTTTAGGTGAAGTGCTTCTGTTATGTCAGAGTGCTCAGAGAGGAGATGTCTATCTGAAACAAACTACCCCAAACTGCAGTAGCACTGAGTTCACCCGACATTCATTCTTGAACACTGGTGATGATGGTTTTTGCCCAATAGTCTAGAAGTAAAAGTGCTTGCTCAGGAAGACAGAAACCTAGGTTTTAGGCTTACCTCACCCAAAGGGACTAAAACACACATTTCACCTCCCAAAAAGTGCCCTAACCAGATGTAATGCTAAGGTGTGCAGTGGCCCCTCTGAATAGCCAAGCGTGCAAGAATGATGAGAACCAAAGAATTACTAGTAAAAGAATTACTAAAGCTTTAGTCTACAGTTTAGCACAGTCATTCTCACCCCAAGAGCTGTGAAATTCTTTTAAGGGTGCCATGGGGTGCCGTGCAATATTAGCATTGTAGATGCAAACACCTACACATGGTTCACAAGATATACCCAGAGATTTCCATTAGGAATCTATAGTGTCAAAAAAATTCTAACCTGATGTGGTCTTTCTGAGTTCTTTGCAAGAGAATTGACATATTATTTTTCCATAGTCAAAAGATGAGTGAATGCGAAGAGCTGGCATTTACTGAGGAGTCTAAAAGGTTGGCTGGAGTTTAAAGAGATCGAGAAGCACTAGCCTAGTGGTTATGAAACTCAAGTAGGAGGGTAGACTTTTGGGTTCTGCCCTCTGCTGGCAGGGCTATTTCTGTTTTTAAGCTGCTGACTCTAATGTTAAATGCATAAAAAGTCCAGGGAGTCAAAAAGGAGGAGTGTTAATCTTTATATGTCTCACATTGCCTCCTGAGCAAGCCTGGATCTACTGGCAAGAAACAAGCTCCATTTACTTGCTCCTACCCCACAAGCCCAGCAGTTTGTCAATGAAGATGATTTAGTGGGGACCTGAGCTCCCACCTGCACACCCACTTCTTATACATGTGGAACACATGACGTCAGGGGAGAGACTGCCTGGTGTTAGGCTAACAGTGCCTGAGGAACTTAAAAAGTGGGCATGCATCTAGGACTCCCTGCTGCCCACTGTGTTTTAAAGGTGCAGGGTACTGTGAGCCTTTCACAGGGCCATTCATACCTTTCAAAGGTGTATGTGCAACAGGGCACCATGAGCCTAGCATTGGGGAGAGGTATACTGATATCAGGTTCACAGTACACCCTGATCTACCTCCAGGGATTGGGTAGGGGAGGAAGCATTGAGGGCCAGGACTCAGTGTTGCCCCAACCTGATCCCACTGATCAGGCAGAGGACATCTGTGTCCTGGACCCCAGGACTGTCCCATGCCCAATCGTGATGCTCAACTGAGCATTAGGATCCACCAGGCCAGCCATGCTGTATGTTCAGTTTAAGGTGTGATACAAACTAGCCCCAAAGATGTTGCTTGTTTGATGTATTCTTACATCATAACTTGGTTTTAATATGTATCATGTTACAATTTATGATGTAATTTACATGTCAGCCACGCCATAAATGTAATGTCTGCCAGGGGGTTGGATGAATGGTGTGACAAGAATGCCAAGCAGTTTTGTTTTCTGGGTTACAATACTATAACTTCTGATTTTACCAAAAATTCAGTAATGAGTCTTGAGGTAGTATCTAAATGACCCAAGCAGGGTGGGAACCCCTTTAAAAAGGCACTATATACAGAAAGTACAGTCCCTGTACTGTGTTTTATTTCTTACATAATTAAAATTCTTTTTTTTTTTTAGCCGAATACAATACTCTGTGTCCAGGGGGTGAAGGATTTAGACCAAATCCCATCACTATTATTTTAGAAGGTGAGTTTAATCAGAATAATAACTATTAACAACTGCAACTAGATAAAAGGCCACATATTCAGAAGTCTATATAATACATGGATTCTGAGGGAAGACTTCACATTTATTGCACCAAAAGCCCTAGATTAACACAAATAGTACCACAGAGGATGGTTCAAGCTGATGACTATGCAGCAGATTCCCAATAAAAAATACTCAGAACCCCATCTGGGTGGGTGAACATAAGCTTTTGGGAGTGAAAGAAAGGGCTCATGCATGTCCATGTTATTCTTTAAGGCCCTTGAATATTTGTCCCCTTGAAAAGTACAGTAAGGCCTAAAAAACCCTACAGTTTACCAGTGAAAAGTTAATATTGGTGGAAACTTGCCACTGGCATTCTGAATCCAATGCATTTTTGAGTGATTTAGAATGAAGGCATGAAAAATTAGATGCCAGGTTTGCATGGACAGCAATAGAATTTAAACTCCTTTATGTTCAATATGCTGAAAATGTGTTCCATAAGAGCTAGCTATATGGAATTATAGCATTTCATCTTCCATTTTATATTGAAGTACATGTGTAAGAGAAAAAATGCATGTGATGTTAATAGCTACTAGTCAGTCATATTTCAATGGAGTGCTTAAGGTTCCTTGTTTCTTTATATATCAGTGAGAATATGGTGCTTTCTCTTTGCAGACATTGATGAATGTCAGGAGTTGCCTGGTCTTTGCCAAGGTGGAAACTGTATCAATACTTTTGGCAGTTTCCAGTGTGAATGTCCACAAGGCTACTACCTCAGTGAAGAGACACGCATCTGTGAAGGTGAAATTCTTTAATAACTACTCTCCTCCCAGGGGATACACAAATATACAAACACATTAGCCTTCCAGCATGGTTATTTTTCCCCAGCTGTAGAAAATATGATGTTTAGTGGCAGATTGCAACCAAAAAAATGGTGGTGGTTCCAAATGGTAAGGTGTAATAAAAAGAGTACCTTAATTAGAATCCCGTGTAATTCATATGAGGAAAGGACTTCAAGGATTTGCTAATTCTTCTCTGTTGCACATGGTGTAATGATAACTTTATAAGATTTTGTGATGCCCCAGTATTAATGACTCTTCTCTTGTTTATAAATACAAGCAAATAATGTATGTACAGTAAAAGCTACCTTAACCGGCACCTTACAAATCGGCATGCTCTATTAACCGGCATGCTGGCTTATAAGGTAAAAGCAAAACCAGAAGTGCCCACAGTGGCACTTTTGGTTTCACTGAGCCCCCACAGCCCGGGGCATAGCAGACTGCACGGGGCCTGCCTCCCTGTCTCTCAGGGCTTGCGGGAGGGTCAGTGATGCAGTGGGAGGGGTGGCGACTCCCCGGATGTGGTGGGAGAAGTGGCAGCCTGAACAGGCAAAGATGCCTGTTCGGACCTCTCAGTTAACCGGCATGTTTTGCTATCCGGCACTCCCCATGGGTGCCAGATAACAAAGCATTTGCTTTAGTACTGACTCTGGGCCACAGGCCTATGCCAAGGAAGATATCTGAAACCTCACAAGGTTCATCTTTTAGAGTTTGTACTTCTGTCAAGAAGGAATGTTTTCAGGCTTCCTGTGAGAAACATGGCCCAAACTAGAAAATTCCTGAGAGCCCAACTCTACCTCCATCTAGATCCTTGTGTTTCCCTGACGTCCTTTTGATCTTAGGTGCACAAGGCATAAAAAGTGTGCTTTAGTGGGTTCATCTAACCCTGCCAAGTCATATTAGACATATTGTGAGTTTCCCAAAACCAGCTTCTGTAAGGAGCTTGTCAGGCCCTCTAAGCCTCATTAGATGTCAGAGGAACTCACAGTATATTACCCAACTTCAGGTGGATTACCTTAGGAGTTCAACCTTCATAGGCCTTAAGGAATTGTTTCTGGATCCCTTAACCCCTAGGATGCTTAACTATCTTCCCTCTTTGAGTGTGATGAGTCAAAATAGTATTGGTAGCTCCTAGTCCAACTAATTTTTGTTTGTTTGTTAGGAACAAAGCCTTGACTAAGGCTTGCCAAAGGGCTGGGATACCTCCAGCAAGTGTCCCATGATTCTCTGCTCCATTTTCTCAACTCCGTGCTTCCCTGCTTCTTTATCTTACCCCATCTCCCATTCTGCTGGCACCCTTCATATCCATCTTCTACAGCATCTTCTGTTCTGCTTTTTCAATCCCCTCCAGGCTCCTTGTTCTCCTGAAGTTGCATATTTGCATCTTCATTGAACTCCATTAAATCTGTAGGATGTAGACACCTCCATGGTCAATCAGTAAAATGGAAGCAGATGGGGTCTGATAAGTTCAGCATAGTGAAGACTATTAAGTCCAGTATTCTGTTAGTTTTCTTGCCTTGCATTCTAAATTCAGGATCTAGCAAAAAAAAGTCTTAGGAAAATAATCACTACCCTACTTACAAATACGGCTTGCTTAATAGCTCGAGTAATTTCAGTTGTGATGGAGGGAAAAAAAATCTTTAGAGATTGATATACCTTTTGAGTCCTTTTTCTGCATGGAAGAGTGCTAGAGACAGAATTTTATTTTGACATTAAATCATAGGTCATCAGTCATTTTGATGAGCTGCTTTAAATAATTTGAAGCCATTCATGTCAATTCAATTCATTTCATATTTATTAGGAATAAATGTCTGTCCTAGTTTAAGACTAAGATCTTGGACACATGTTACTTTTGTAGCACTGTATACAGCCTTGCATCACTGCAGAAACCAAATGTCACCACGATCAGGCTGTTTGTCATGCTACAAAGATGGCATGCCCATCACTAAAACAGAGGATACACTACACTACAAAAAATTTCCTGTTTCAAACTGCTAGAGTTACTAAGCTGTTAGAAAGTACACTTGTACTTATTTAATTGGGCTTGGCCCTCATTAGTTTGTGAACTACACCTTTTTGCTTGATCTCTCTAGATATTGATGAGTGTGTTGCACATCCCGGTGTCTGTGGTCCTGGCACCTGCTACAACACCTTGGGGAACTACACCTGCATTTGTCCTCCTGAGTATATGCAGGTCAATGGAGGACATAACTGCATGGGTATGTGAAACTTCACATTTATCTGGTATGTTGTACTAAGCAGATCTTTGTTGGAATTCATCTGGTTGCTTAAAATATTCCCTACAGCAAGACTGACTTTGAAATTTTAGAAGTTGTGGCCTCTTTTAAGTGTCTTATCAGAACATTAAGTTGCAACCCTGCTGCTTTAAAGCTCTTCACATCATATTGGTTTTTTCTTACCGCTTACTGCAAAACAACTATGCCATGCATCCAGAAAAGAGATCCATATGGCTGATCTGAAATGAGTACAATTGTATCGAGTACAACTTTTTAAATGAAAATCAGAAAGAGCTTTTCATTTTACAAGTCATTTTTTATATTTATATGTGGCTTCCAGGTGGAGAGTTTGCCAGAAAAATGGGTCTGAACAATTTGTACATTTTGCTTTTAGTTTCCTGGAAATGTTTTTGTCTTGTCAGGCGTCCATGCCTGAATAGAGATAAACATGTGTCAATGGAGCAAACATATTCAGCTAGTCTAATATGAAGACAAAACATGATTAAGTCTTTATTGTTATTTTTAAATGTGCTGCACATGCACAGTCTGTGAGTCAGAATAAATAAATCTCAGTGGTGAGGTCTGTAGCTGAAGGGATTTGATTTTCATTTGACCTACCTTGTTGGTTTTTTAGTAAATCTGAGTGTTTTCCCACATGTAGACATGCGGAAGAGTTTTTGCTATAGAAGTTATAATGGAACCACCTGTGAGAATGAACTGCCCTTCAATGTGACCAAGAGGATGTGCTGCTGCACATACAATGTTGGCAAAGCCTGGAACAAACCTTGTGAGCCATGTCCAACACCAGGAACAGGTAAAACCTATCCAGAAAACTTAGTTATAATTTTCATAGGGCATCTACTACTTTTCAGATGACAGAAAGTTTCAGTCAAGATCATACCTTTGCTGTTATCCAAACGGAAAGAAGAGTGACAATATTGCTCTTAATTGACATTTTTATTTGAAATAATTTTATCCAGTAGATATAGAAAGGAGTATGTTGGGTTTGTTTTATTAACTGTGAATGGGCTGTATTTTTAGTAATTGCCAAGGCACCGAGAGGCCTGTGGAGACGCTTGTATGTGCATAAATGAAAATAATTATCGAAATTAAAGTGCAGTTTTCTAACACACTGGGTACATCTACACGAGACGCTACTATGCAGTGATTACTGTTCATTTCTTTGGTACTTGCTTATACAAGTACTGCCGAGATGCTAGTAGCCTAGTATTAGGCTACTGAACAGCAGTGTCGCTTAAAAGGCGTTCAGTGACGCTACTGCTCAGTAACTCCAGTTACTGCGCATTTATTTAGTACTTATTTAGGCAAGTACTTGTATAAGCCAGTACTAAATAAATGCGCGGTAACTGGAGTTACTGTGCAGTAGTGCCACCGAACACCTTTTAAGTGACACTACTGTGCAGTAGCCTAATATTACTGCACAGTAGCATTTTGGCACAGTTTTTAATACGCCAAATTTACTGCGTAGTAGTATTAGGCTACTGCTCAGTCAGCATCTTGTGTAGACATGTCCACTGTGACATAAAAGGACATATGCTTGATGCCAAAGGATAAACCCTGAGCAAGCCACTTTTTATGCTGCCGTGTAAATGGCTACAGAGCTCTCATTTATAAAGCAGATGCCAAGCTGAAGACAGACAGTAATGCTGGGCATGTGTCTGCATTATGGTATTGCTAACATACACAGAGTGAGGGCTCTGGCTGTGTTTAGCAATTCTTCCATCTGCTTTGGGTTTATTTTAACAGCTCATTGTCCATGAAGGTGGGTGTAATTAGTAAGTAAAGTGCAGTGTACTTAGTGACTTGACTCAAGTTGCAGCAAGGGAAGTTTAGGTTAGATATTAGGAAAAACATGCTCACTAGGATGGTGGTAAAGCACTGGAACAAGTTACCTAGAGAGATGGTAAAATCTCCATCTTTGGAGATTTTTAAGGCCCAGCTCAACAAAGCCCTGGTTGGAATGATGTAGTTGGAAATGGTCCTGCTCTGAGCAAGGGGTTGTACTACATGACCTACTGAGGTCCCTTCCAACCCTCATTTTCTAGGATTCTATGACTTACTAACTACAGTACAGTCCCAGATAGACAGCTGTCATTACATGTACCCCATGAACCATCTTGTGGGAGCAAACTGAGCAAGGAGGTTTCTATAAATTGGGGGATGCACGGTTCTGTGCTCTGTGAGCTCTTACCTCCTCATTCTAGGAGTTGCATAATCCATGTCTAGTGTGATGCAAAAGAAGAGGGGACCTTGGTCATATATATGCTGTACATATTTTCTGGTTTTGTTTCATCAGCATCTAGGAATCCAATAGAAAGATCAGAATGCATTTAGAAACATGATGGTCACTTCTAGATTACTTTTTTCTATCCCAGTGCCAGGGATTTCATATAAGGAATGAAGTAAACATTCATTTTTGAGCTATCTAAAGCACAAAATGAGAAAGGAGAGACTTGGTTGTATAGCAGAAAAATCAAATCCATTGTTAGTCCCTAGGATTCATAAATTAATGCTAAGCAGTCGACTAAGCAGAAGCCTAATAGTACACTAGGAAACAATGTACAATAATAGATGCATGGTACTCTATCATAGGTTGTGATACTTAGCTTGCATGCTGTGTGTATCTTTTGTAGAGTCCCTGTACCTTAATTGGTCCTTTTTCTTTGCCTGGTCTGTCTTGTGGCATTGGGAGAAATAATTTAAATAGTAACAAAGCATCCAGGAAGCAGAAATAGGGGATTAAACAAAATCCCTTTCAATAAGCAGGACAGGGAGAATGAAAAAGAAGTATTCTTTTAGCAACCAGAAGTGGGAGATGAAGACCTAGGAAATAGGAGGTTGCTGATATGGAAAACCATGAAGTAATTATGGTTGAATAACTTCATATTATATGGTGATGATGAGCTGCAATGTCATCATCATGATAAAAATAAGACAGCACATGGCTGTAAAAACACCATTCACTATGTGTCATTTTATTTTAGCTGTTCTTAAATGTCCATTAAAATATCCATTTAAGCAATTCTGTGAATAGTTATACGCTTAAAAATAGGTGTCTCTCACAATTCTACCTTGTTGGCTTTTCTTTCTTAAGTTTTTGTTTTTGGGGGTTTTTTTTGGTTTTTTTTGCTGCAGTGGGAGGCATTTTTGATCTCTTATTCCCCTAAAATGGGGGATTGTGTGGGGGGATCAAACACAAATTCCAAATGTAAATGGTTGAATAGCTATATTTGTTGTGAGATAATGAGTATGTTCTGCTGTCTGGGTGTGGGCTGTGCATCACAGAAGCAAAGGTTATGGTGTGTTGACCTTAACCAGCTTGCTAAATTAAGCTGAATGGCTCATTAAAAGAACTATTATACTTTGATGAGAAGTATATTGTTCCTTTAAATGAGCTTCACATGCCACTGCCTTTTCATTTTCTTTCTGAATAACTCTTTCATTTTTTTTCATATTTCTGTTTGACAAACTCTCTTGCTCTGTACAATGTATTTGGCTAAGAGTTTGTAGAGTTTAATGTCTCATGTTGTTGTGAATTACACCCATTATCATTAAGGAGGTCCCAAACCTGCTGTAATAAATGTTTTTTACCTGCAGTGTTTTGCTGTCTCCATCACTTCGTGTTTATGACTAAATTTTTATATCTGCTGAATTGTCCAGTTTTAGGAATAGAGGAACTCTGAGGGGGTTGTTACCATTACCTCTCAGATGTCACTCACTTTCTGGAAAAGGTACCATTAAATATTGATATTTAGAAACAACTTAGTGTGACACTTGAAAAGTTCAAAACACAAAAGCAGGA